TTTTTTTTTTTTAAAAAGTGGTTTTTTTTTTTTTTTTTTTTTTTTTTTTTTTTTTTTTTTTTTTTTTTTTTTTTTTTTTTTTTTTTTTTTTTTTTTTTTGGTTTAACATTTTTTGTTGTATTTACTGTATGTAACAGTGTTTTCTTGGAAAGCAGTGATAGTCACTGAATGGATACCCCTTGGTTATAGAAAGCTTAAATAAATAAATAATAAATAATGAAACAAAATAATTTCACCTAGTAAATAGATATACTGTGTATAATAATACGAAGGTGGCCAGCAAATTTTAGAGGTAGGCGTTAAGGCAAGTTGTATAAAAAATAATGTTAACTAAAGGAATATCAATAATAATAATCATCATTATCATGATTCATTAAAATTATATTAGGAATGTTGGATAAGAATCATAATTTAAACTCTTAAACATACCTGACTTGTTAATCGTTGTTCCCCACTGACTTGCATCACTTGTCGCTAGTCCTGTTGAACCGCGAGTGTCAACATCAAAGTTTGATGAGGGTGATATACCTGTGGTCAATGGACGGAGTGTTTTGTAGTTCGACGTCCCAGTCACATTGGTTTGTATATTTAAGTCTGATAAAGATGAATTTTAAATTATGAAATGATTATCCATAAATATTGTGTCAGTACCGTACCTAATGAATGTAAAGCTATTGCCAATTGTGGACGGTCTCCTAAATTAAAGATTTTCTGTGGTGTAAAAACTGAAAACCCTAAAAAATGTCTATAATAACCTTGAAAAGTTAATTCAATAGGCTATTCTAGATGGTTATTTTCTATATAAAATATTCTTACTTTTCAATTAATAAAGCAAAAGAGAAACATTTAGATGGCAATCAAGTTTGTAGCCAAAATTTAAAAATTTCAAATGTCTGTAAGTGAATAAAACCAAATCGTTGAATATGTCTCGTTGAGATTTTAACATTATTTGATCATGTTTTACATATTTACTTTTTTTTAAATTGATTGTCATTGTTAGGCCTATTAGCTGTTGTCTTAACTGTGCAGTATAATGTGTGTACAGTATGTTATTTGAACCTTTTTGTTTTGTCGGGGTCAAATTGAGACAAGCTTCGCTTCTATTTTTGATCCTAATTAATTAATATCAATGTTGTCTACTTTATGTATCATTTGATGTATTTATTAATTAATTGAATAAATGTTAATTGAATTGAATTGAATTGAATTATTATGTACGTATTTATGTATGTAAGTATGTATTACGTATGATATGTATGTGTATTTATGTATGTATGTATTATGTACCGGTATGTATGTATATTTATTAAAGTCAGGCTCCGGAGGGAAAAAAAAATTTGATATTTTGTAGAACTGATTTTTCTAAGACAGAAAATAGTTGTTTGACGAAAAACTGGGGAACGGTGAATGAGATACAGATTTTTTAATATTTAAAAACTGGGGGAATAAGGTGTAAAAATGGGCAGTTACGCCCCTTTTTCCCCCAGTTTTTAAATATTAAAAAATCACGAAATACTGAATATTGATAATTAGCTTTGCATTCAGATGAGCTCGCATTTACACAGTTGAAATTAAACGTTCGTCTGGGAGCAGACGGTCTTGAATTCGACTATTTAACTTAAATGAACAGTTTGATCCTGTGTTTTTTTACTTCATTCAGCTGATAAAGTTAGCTCAAGCTAGCGAAGGCCTGTGTCTCAATAAATTTCGTTAGTCTAAAGAAGATGCTACTGTACTTATTTCGGACGAATTGATTTTACACATTTTCTAAAACATGATAATACAACTCCATGCATATACCACATCAACTCATCATAGTTGTCTTTTAAAAGTAGTACTGTACTTTAAAATTGAAATATAATTATACTGTAAAATCAATTTTATATGTATTCGAATAAACGCATCGCTAATGGAAGCAACATCATTGTTAACACACTCTATGCTGCATTCCGCATTCCACATTTACAGTGAAATAAACAGGCGTTTATTTGAGTATATACGTATCCATTTTACACCAAAAAAATTAAATAAATAAACGTCCCCTAGAATAAACGCCCCCTGAGAAACCTTTCTTAACAATAAACGCCCAAATAAATACGGTTATTCGAATAAATACGGTTATTAGAATTTCTGTTGTTTAGTTGGTCCCGACCATATATTTATCACTATTCTTATTCGTATAATGTTTGTGTTTGCTGCAGAGATAAACTTCCTGTGTTGTTTTTCATGATAATGAAGATGCTATGTATCTGTCTCTTATACACATCTAGATGTGTATAAGAGACAGATATGAGTATGAGCCGTGGAAACGGTATTGTATCAGATTAAGCAGGTATATCGTGATAGGCGTATAGGAATGATGATGATGATGATGATGATGATGACGATGATAATAATGATGTTGTCAAGTAGCAAGATTTTACCCCACAACAAATAATGATTTACTCCCATACAGACCATGGATCAGTCATACTATATGACTGTTCCCTACAGAATGAGTTTTTTTAGAGCATTTTTTACAACCATTATATTATAATGATATAATTATTTGCTTTTGGAAACTATGATAAATAATATTTCCATTTTTACCGTAAGCATCAATTCTGCGGGGCATTTGGTGCATTCGTCACAAATGCGACACAAATTCCAGTACTTCACGTAATATCCATTTGGACAAGTTGTACACCTGATAATTGATGTAAAGAATATTTAAATGTTTTACATTTCATTAATTTGTCTCAAAAACATTAAAACAAGTAAAGAAACATCAAGGAATATGCACAAAAGAACATGAAACAGGAACACCCCCAAAAGTAAGCTAAATTGCTCTCGAGTGGGGCCCATGCAAACTAAACGATACTGGACAATCAATGTCAACGATGATAACGATGATGATGTTGACAAAGAAGAAGGGCAGTGGCGTAACACCTATGGACTCTCATGCGGCGGTCCACAGGGCCTTGACCCATAGGGGCCCCGAAGATGCCCCTACCCATGGGGTCCTCGATGACCCAAAAAGGCTTTGTTGACACATTACAGCATAATGTATCTCTGACATCGACTTTAGAACATATACTATATTATATCCAGTGGCGGATTAAAGGGGCTCTGTCGGCCTGGGCCCTGTCGGCCGGGCCCCCTAGATTTATAAAAACAATAAAACATGGAGAAAAAGACAATATTATTTGAGTGCCATTTCCGGCCATCTAGAGGTGCCATAATCATAAACTTTATTACCTCAGTCCCAACCATGGTTCGGTCTGACCGTCCATCTGTGAAAAGTCTGTCCTGCCCCCTGCCCCTCTAACTCAAATTCCTATTTTCGCCACTGATCTAATGTCATTTGTTAAAAACATTATTACAAAGACAAAAACATGATTAAAAAACGAGCACATCTAATAGCCCACAATGAATTGGCGACGGGGACCCAAAAGGGCCCCCAGTTTTGGAAAGCCTCAGGGCCCCCAACCCCATCGTTACGCAACTGATGAAGAGGATGCTGATAATGATGATGATTGTTGATGGTGATTGTGGTGGTGGTAATGATTATATGAGGTGGTTGACGATAATGATAATAATAATAATAATAATAATAATAATAATAATAATAATAATAATAATAATAATCATAATAATAATAATAATAATATTAATAATAATAATAATAATAATGATAATAATAATAATAATAATAATCATAATAATCATAATAATAATAATAATAATATTAATAATAATAATAATAATAATAATAATAACTGTATGATAGTGAAGATAATGATGACAATGATGATGATTATGTTAATAATGACAAAATCCTGATGATGGTATACACTGGTATCGATGATTATGATATTGATAATGAGACAACCTCACATTTATGAGGAACTAAACACAAGGGATAGACACACGTATAATTAGGAGAGTAATAAAAAATCTATTCAATTAACTAAGATCAGTACGGTGGGTCATACACTATTACGCCTTAGCTATTACACATACTGTACTTAGAAATGAAGAATAGCTTAATTAATTAAAAATGTAAAACCCAAATGACGACGCAGATAAACAGACTTACGGTCGATGCAATGCCCCTAGCTCCTTTTGCATAAAATTAATAATAGAGAAAAACAAAATGATGAGATTAGGAGGCATAGATGAACAAGAGGTAAAAACGTGCTCTTTGGCCAAAATTGAACGTTCGTTAGCCTGTGAGTAACATCATTGAACCCGCCGAATGCATCAAAACTTAATCCAACACACTATTGAACAACTTGGTGAACGTATGGCTAATATGGTTACGTGCCAGTTTTCTACATTAGTGGTTTTATGCTGTCTAATTATCGTTATCGTTTCCTTCTTCGTTTCACAAAAGTTTGACGCTAATTTCTTTTCAGCGGGTAGGCTATATCATTAGATCTCATTCTCTGAGATAGTCAAGTTGAAGGAAAAGCACGATCGCAGCAAGTCATTAAGTTCCTGATGTTCAATTGCCAAGATCGTGACGTCACGGACCTGTTACATACTATATGTATATATAAATCAAAACCTACCAGTTTGTGTTGTTGGTGGTGCAGAACTGACTGACGTACTGACCTGGTTGGCACGACAAACACACTCTTTTACCAAATTCGATTTCTTTGCTGAACAAATTATTTCTTTGTTCACACGGCGACTTGGTTACAGCCACAATGAAGGAGTTGAAAATTAAAATATACTGAAAAATTATATAAAAATAAGGACAAATAAATTCGGTACAACACATTGGCTAAACTAAATAATTTAAAATCCAAGTGGTCCAAATATTGTATTCCAAAATTTCGTTGAAGGGCTATGCTTCTTGATACGATTATAACATCCTCTTATTTGAGCAATTTTGTTATCATTTATCGATTTGTATATTGTTTGTATTGGGTTTACGGTGTTACGCAAACTTAATTTGTATTGTGTATTGTATATTATTTGTGTTTAAGGTGAGATGTGTATAAGAGACAGCATATACTATATTATATCCAGTGGCGGATTAAAGGGGCTCTGTCGGCCTGGGCCCTGTCGGCCGGGCCCCCTAGATTTATAAAAACAATAAAACATGGAGAAAAAGACAATATTATTTGAGTGCCATTTCCGGCCATCTAGAGGTAACACTGCTCGTATAAGAATACGATGCTTTTATTTTTCTATTTCTCTGTATAACAAGTCAATATATATATATATATATATATATATATATATATTATATATAGGGCCTAAACAAATATGTATTTTCGAACATATTCACAATTTTCAATAAAATTATATATTGTTAAAATATATGTTACTTGTACCAAGCAAGGATCATTCCTGGTCCACCCTAATAAACAATATTAATGGTAATAATGCGTTTGCTTCTAATTCCATATTTGGACAAATAAAATTTAATCTCAATCGGAAGAAATTAGACTTTTCTGAAATTAACGTTTGGCTAAATTAAATTTTGGAGAAATTCGACCACCGTTTTGAAAATTAGACATTGATTTTACAATTACTACGTTACAGGTTTGCTGTCTATGACTCCCCATAGGTAAGAACCAAAACCGTATACCACTAGAGGCAAAGATAATTTCAGGCCTCCAATTCGTAGAAAACATAATCTACAGACAAAATCTGCAAAGTTTCTATCAAGGCGAGGTCATATACTTTATACAGACCTACTTTATGGTATGATAGAATTATAGGTATAGGCCTACATTGCAATATTTAACCTTAAGTGGAACAATATCTGACAATTCTCATGAGTCTAAACTCTTTTAGTTAGAAAGAAGCTGACTAATAAATCATTATAAAACTGATCAGGAGCACTCAATTGGCCAAACTTTTATTTGCGACGTCATCGCAAATCTGATTGCTTATACATCACGAGAGCGCACGAGGCTCATAATTTCAAACACTTTTTTTTTTATAAGAACACATTTTATAAGAACACCGAGCTGAAATCGCTTAAGAATTAAGAATAAAATAAAAAATAAATTGATGCTATAATAAAAATGATGTTCATATATTTAAAAAATGGAAAAACCAACAAATCTATCTGTACCTTATTTGCAGTAGGTGTGACTATGTAATACCCTCTATAATACATTAAAGTAATATACTGATTGTGAAATAATAATTTTCTATTGAAAAATGTATAAAATAAGAACACAATAAGAACATTTTGAGCCTGAAATCGTTAAAAAAAAATAAACACTGAGTCTGGGCAAAAGTTTACTGGTTCTTATAAAAAAAATGTAGGATATTAAGTAACTAAATAAACTAAATTGGTTTATATTAAATTGTCCTCTTTTAATGTAGTACAACGAGGCGTCAAGTCAAGAAAATAACATAATTAAAGTGGTTGCTGGGAATTTTGCAAAAAAAAAATTATGTTTTATCAAGTGAAGAATTTCCACAAGACCAAAATAACTCTACTTCCTAAGCAACATAAGGAGACATAAGGGGGTTAATGTTGTGAATTAATGTTCAGCAACATGTGCATATGTAGACAGGCCTAGACATAATGTGTTGAAAATGGGTGGCTAGTTCATAAATTAATATTGATATACTAATACTCGCTGGTCGGTATTTATTTCTTGGCCCAACTTCTCAAACAAAACCCAATTTAATTCTCAATTCTGGGAATATATGAATTCAGATGAGCGATATTATCCATATCTGCAGGTGTAATTCGAAATATTACTCAGCCAGAATATGCAAAGGCCTATAATAGGGTTTCTTTTCATAATTCTATTCGTATTCATAGACCGTACTGAGCACAATAGGCCTAAGTGACTATAATAATTATGACGTCACAATTAGTGTATATACTGACGTCTGTATAATAATATAATCTTGATGTCGTTATACCTTTACAATATAAAATGTCGTTTGACCTTAGAGCTTTTGAAATATTTCAGAATCCTTATGCATCCACTGTTCCATTGTTATAGTAAACTAATGTATAGATAGAGACGTCATCTAACTCATTGACGTTCACAGTGTCAACAACCAAATATAAATATGGCCGCGGCCATAAACTCACCGTTGTACAGTTGTGAAACACTCGAGGAATTTTTTAGTGGTAGATCTGGCTTAAGGCATCATAAAGGAAATATGAGGATTCTTGGTGTTCCTTCTGTTATGACACTATATGAATGGTTTGGAATATATTAAATACAGATAGACCTAGGCCTATATCTATTGAACAAACGAATGAAAATATTCGAATATTTCAATTTTTTAAATTTATTCATCAATTGTGCTTGGTTTATCATACCGATTAAACAGTTCTAAAACGAATAAAATTTGGAAAACTATCCACGTTCAAAAACGACGGTTGCTTAAGCATAGGCCTACGTAGTCGAAGCTTTATCCCAAAGACAGGGCTTGGGCCTCTACACTGATTATTCAGCTGCAATATGCCATGAACAAGGAGCACATATAAACATTGAGTAAATTGGAACATTCGTATTGCGCCCTTTGTGACTCTTCCTTATTGTTGCTTTATTCATTCATGGCTGTATAACCGGCAATTCTTCATAAAATTATTCAAAGTTCTGTTGAGATATTCGGAGAATAGCCATAGGTATTAGTCGATGTAAAACGATTTACATAGATATGAAGTAAATTTGACCACGGCTTCTTAGGGTGATTTACTTATATGCTGAAATTAAAGAATAGCCGCAGACGGCCTATTACCCTATCGTATAACTTTATAGTCTGTAAAACAATTTACAGAGAAAATTACGAATATCATACGTGCACATTGGCTTCTTCGTGTGACATCTTCTATAATAGCATATCACCTGGAAAATCCAGTAGCAGACGCAATTGTGGAAATCATAATTTTATTAATAGTGTGTTGTTCATTAATTCATTAATCTTTGAGTCCTGATTAAGTCGCCAATGAACATTATTACAATCGAATAAAATCAACCGAAAAGGATATCTATCGCTAGCCCGTGCCCTGCTCTGTCAGATTTAAAGGGCATGCCTGGCAAAGTCAGTTATGGGCCTACCTCTTGTCTGTACTCAGTTGGGGCATAGGGGCCTAGGCATATTTACCACTGTATTAATCAATTGGTATTTCATTATTCCAAAATTCGTTATTATAATCATCAAAACAAACAACTATTTATGTAGAATCATGCAGGCCTAATGCAGATAAAAAGGGGGAAAATGATGATTTACTTACACACAGTTCCTTCGTGAAAATCATTGCGTTAGGTAACTATGATCTAATCTGGAAATTTAAAGTTTAAAAATAAACTTATACAGTATGACGTCATGCTTCACTTATTGACATTGTAATAATAAATTATAAAATGAAGGCAAGCCACCAAACGTATTAGTTTCTTGTCTTTCAAATCAAATCCCATGTTCACACATTTCCCTGACGCCTGCAACTACACTAAAGTTTCTTAGATCATCATTTTCCCCTGTAAATTTTAGTAGCACCTGGACTGTGTATACAAACAAACTAGGGAATAATTATTGTGTATATGAAATGCGATTAATGCTAATTGTATATCTAGTGATTTAGATATATTTTCATAAAACTCATTATGGCCGGTATGCTGAAGACGACTTATTTAAATTAGGCCTTTAATTAATGAATAGGTCTAGGTAGTTTTTGTAGAGCGTAGTGTTATATGCGCTTAAAGGGTCTTTCAAAGAAGAAAATATGGGGAAGAGGACAGATGAAACGAAAAAAAAAGAATATGTATATTTAAAAAAAAGTTGCTTTTCAACAATAAATAAGCCTACAGCTATTGGAGAACATCTAAATCCTTGATAAAGTGACTAACTCCTGGTTTGGCCATACAAACGCAACACAGACTCTTCCCCACACCATCCTCCAAGGCTCTGTGGAAGGCAAAAGAATGAGAGGGAACCCAAGAACGACCTGGCAACACAGGTAATGGCCAGGACTGTCACACTAGTACTCCTAGAGACAGCCAGAGAACGACAGGCATGAAGCGATCTGGTCCATTGTTGCTCATCATAAACGCCCCTGAGATCAGGTCACCGGCCAACTAGAACTAGAACTAGAAGCCTGGTTTTACATGTTATGTTATGCCTGAAAAGGAAGAAATTGGCTAAATGACAGATATTATATATTTTCCTGTAGACGATTGAAGCAACTCAATCGAAACGTCGAGACATTCTCAACAAACAACAGTTCTTTTAGAACTATTTACGTGATTTAAGCATTAAATAATTATACTAAATATAGATAATAAGTAGTTTTGGTAAACTCACTAATAACTGTATTGATTTACTTTATATTAATTAAATTCAACACATTTAAATATTTCATTCTTACCAAATGTAAATTGTATAGTTTTTAAAATGAAAAAAGTAGAGCTAATAACATTACTCCGCCCGTCAACATTAGTGTGTTAATGCTGTGTTCTCAAAGGCCTTGCTTAATGATCACGCATTATATAAGTTACAACACACACATTTCATTAATTATAACACTACAATTAGGCTCTATTAAACGAAAGTTACGTATGGATACAGTAGACCCATTTTATTCAAGCATCTAACTGTAACGCTATACAGTACTGTAAATAATGAATTAAGAGATGATAAAAATATGGGTTCTGAGTGATTGGAACAATGAGTTTTTATCCCTCTCTCTCTCTTTTCTAGTGTCATGGCATCGAATGCCGTGGACGGATCATGATGGTGCGTTCTGCTTCCATTTTCTTTTGTCCTTTGCGATCTCGCCTAGCTGTTTTCCATCTCTAACTCCCACAACCTCTTCATCATCCAATCTAACATCTTTAATCTTTGTTTTCCTCTAGCTCTTTTCCCTGTCATCTCAGCCTCAATGAACTTTTATCCCTATATTTTTGTAAGTTTATTTCTTGTTTTTTTATTTGGACTGTTGATAAGATGTCCAACGTTAGATTAACAAAGTTAAAGAGGCGAGTCGAGTGGCCGAGAGGTTAAGGCAGGGGCACCGCAACCTACAGTTATTTCGTAGCTTAATAATGATAAACCATGACAAATAAATGATGCTGATTAATAATAATTTTAGTAGAGATAATACTAAAAATAATAATAATAATAATAATAATAATAATAATAATAATAATAATAATAATAATAATAATAATAATAATAATAATAATAATAATAATAATATATTATGATATTAGTATTTCATTTTGTTATCTTATTTGAAATATTTTAAGGATTGGTCATTCTGCCAAAAGGTGTTCAGCGTGAATATTAAGAGACAATAAATAATGACAGTTTACGCTGAAAAATAGACCTAAGGGAAATGCGGTAGTAACTACTGTGTCGAAGTGTTCGGTGTAACGACTTGATAACACGGAAACAAGACGGTGTATGTGAATGTTGCGCTGCTGGTCGTCGGCCGTCGCGATTGCATGGTATCCATGGAGTAGGCGAGCGCAACGAATCGTTCTTTTATGATCCACAGGCTGCCGTCAACAGAGGATGTCCCGCCGTCAAGCGCCACAGATAAATTCGTTGGATTTTTTTTTTTCTATATATAGATATATCATATTTTGTTACCAATTTGTTGAAATTGTTGATGGCAATTATTAAGCAAGACGGTGCCTACTACAGAAAGTTCGACAACACTATACCAAAACATCAAAATACATGAGGTGTTGTAAATGACTACAAACGGATAATACATTATTGTGTTAAAATACAATAGGTGGCAACTTAAAGACAATTATAATGTGTCTTTTAGATCGGTAAAGCTTCAGAACGACGAACAGCAGAGAATTCAGTCCCCGCGATAACCATTAATATCAATGATTCAACGACGCCCTCGTCTGCCTCGATACACATGGAAAATTAACCATATATTTCAGTCAGTAATTATCTCTAACACGCTGATATTATCTTGAAGAAGACATTTTCAAATCGCTTGAACTAGTCAACATCCCAATTAGTATGTCATTTGTGAAGCATTTATTTCAAACTCGTCTTAGTCCTTCTGAATCACCCCTATGGGAGCGGTCCGAAAGCGCGTTCCCATATATTAAATGTTATCTATTATATTCACTTGAACGCTTCCAACACTAATCACAATAATACGTCGAATGCATTTCACATATTATGATAGTGGAGTATTAGCTCTTCGTTTTTTTTTTCAGCACGTGCTTAACATAATGCAGTTTCAATGATAATACCATTTTATTTATATTTGAAGTTCCCGCATATTTCCAATTGTTTATGGGCGCATGCTAATATTAGTCAATTAATGTAACTAATGAAATATAACGTAAAGTAAACACTGTATCAAACATTTTTTTTACACTTTGAATAAGTGAAATAAGAAAATAAATTTGTCTAAATAGGCGCAATAAAATGTAAATTTATTGTTATTATTATTATTATTATTATTATTATTATTATTATTATTATTATTTGTAGTAGTAGTAGTAGTAGTAGCAGCAGCAGCAGCAGTAGCAGTAGCAGCAGTAGCAGTAGTAGTTGACCTTTATTATTTATTCTATTTCTTTATTCGGCAAACATTTAATACAAAGCAACATGAAAGGAAAGACATCAAATAGAATTGGAATAACAAATGTACGGTTAATAAACAATTGTTAACAATTTTACAGAAGAGATACAGTAGATCGCTCGGATAACCCATAAGTTCGCCAAGTGGCAACTTGTTTCCAATTGGTGAACATAAAGTTATAGAAAGCTAAAATATGTCATTAAAAACCAACAATTATAAAACAAATTACTGTATATCAACTAGGCAATTTGTAGCAAAAAAACAAATGTTTATCTCCTTTGTAGTATTGTAGTATCAGCAAAAATTAATATTATATTAGTATTATATTATTATTGAAATGGGGCTCATTATGGGCGCGAAGGTGAAATTGGAGAATCGACGATTAAGTGGAGGGGGAGGGGAGGGGAGGGGAGAGGGCGCTAGTAATATGAGGTGACTTTTTTGCTTCAGGCATTTTCAATAGTGGACTGGGGACCGCGAGTCCTTTTTCCCACTCCCTGTAGGCCTATGCGTAACTGCGTGCTCCGTATTTCACACCAGTTCCATGAATTTAATAATAGTACTGTAACACATGTTATAATGTGTTTTTAAAGTACACCATACAAACACTTGTTGTAAAATCTAAACTGTACATTACATTTCTGTATGTTGTGATGATGTTGTAGTTCAATGAGCTTAAGAGGGAATTATTAAGACGTGCAGGGAAATGTGTTGAATGTCGAACGACTCTCGAATATGATAACAATAAAAGAAATAATAACAATAGCAACAATAATAAATTTAATAATATTATTTTAATTTAAAAGGCGCCTATTAATAATATTATTGATAGGCCTAATAACAATATCATAATGATAATAGACCTAATAATAATATATGAATCCATAGAGCAATCTATTTTCAATACTCTACTCATGAAACATAAACTATCAACACCACGGTAGGGCCTGAGCTTATCGTCTGAATTGAATTGTTGAATATGGATGTTCCTAGAAAATGATATTGTATGGTATTTTAATTGATCATCAATAACCGAACAGACAAATTTGGTTGACCTTCGTTCTGAAATATGTTAAGTATAAGTTTCCTTATATTATCAGCTTGCAGTGGTGGATTCAAGGTGGGCGCAGTCGGCAACCCCCCACCCCCACACTCCCAAAAAAAGGAAATAATAAAATAATGGCGATAAAAAGAAAATTATATTAAAATTTAAGTCTGAAAATCCAATTTCCGGCCATTGGAAGTGCTATAATCATAACATTTCTTACACGTTCGGGTTGTGTGTGGATCCTCTATCTGTGAAAATCCTCCTGGGCCCCCTCTATTACGAATTCCTGGATCCACCATTGGCTTATGCAAATCTTTTACAATACAAGATACGCTATCGTATTCCTTCATGAATACCAAACTGATACGGCGTGAGTTCAAATGAATTCGTTCATAGTTATCGATCACATCTATACCTGTTGTTCAGCGTTGATAAGTTATAAAACTTCCTGTTTGCTTTAGCGAACTGAAATAATTGTACCTGGCAATTTTAAGTGCTTAACAAACCGAGAAACACTCAATGTTAAGTTAATTTAATAATGAAATGGACATAGCAAATTGTATATTTGTATGTTATATCCTGTTGATCATATGCTTGTTGAGAAGACTCGTAGACTACGTTCAATAACAAGAGTTGGAGTACTATTAATATCCGTGGCTATCTCAGTAATCATATTCCTAAATGTATTCAATCATAACTGTATAACACCCATGTAACGAGGATCTGCTGCTGCAGGCTTGGTTTGATAACATCCATTCCTGATAGTCCTACTTCAATTTGCTTATTGCTAAGCAGCCCCGTCTAGACATTTTTTAAAGTTCTACATATAAAATCATCAAAGAAAAACGTGAGTTCAACAAACGCAAGTGCTGATACTTTGATATAAATTGTGCATAAATATGTGATTATTGAATTACGAATGATAATCAATATTCAAGAAAAACGTAAAGGTCGATTCGAATTCTGATGAGACATAGGCCTATACATTTTTTATATTAAAATATTCATCATCATCATCCTAATATCATCAACAGTGAAGACATTTCTTTATACCGAAGCTGCTATCATGTATTTACTATTATTTTTTTCAATATTAAACAATACCTTGAGAAAAAAAAAATAGTTTGAATCAAACGGATTATGATGTATAATTGGTAAAATATTACTCGGTTGCCGATGCTTTGTCAAACATTACTTGGTATAGTGATATCTTGATATATATAATATATATATATATATATATATATATACATATATACATATATATATATATATACATATATATATATACATATATATATACATAATTATACATATATATACATATATATACATACATATATATACATACATATATATACATATATATAGGCCTAATGTCTATGAATATATGTGTATAATTAATACTATTATTATTTTCTTATTCTTGATAACAACGTAATAATAAGAATATTATGATTAATATTTGTATTGTGTTTTTAATGTAGTAGTAGTTGATGTAGCAAATTAACTATTAACAGATGTATTAATATTTATCATTTTTATACTAAAGGTCAATACCTTTTTTGTGAGATATATATTTAAGAACCGTTAACATTTAAACCTTCCTTATCCATCCGAGTCAAATTAATCATGCGTTGAAGAGTGAATGGTTGAATACAAATTGTCAGCAGAGTCGACAATAATAAAGAAAAGGGATTAATAAAAATCGGGGACCTGTCGTGTTTCATGACTTGTGGACACTTTAGAGGTTATGGGTTCACAGTACCATTCAATTGAAAAATAACTATCTTAACACACCTCGATATGTTAGGGGAACTATCAAAAAGAACAAAAAAATGTGCCATATTACTAATAGTAGGTTTGTATGAAGTATAATGGCCTCGTACCACTACGTTTTTCTTGAGTACGAAAATCGGCGTAGTGCCAAAGCACGTGCAATAGACGTGCAAACGCCTGGTGATACGCACATCAATTCGAAGTTGACGCAACCCTATCTCATGTGAACCATTAATATATGTTGATCGTTACAAAGTGATTTCGCTTAGTGCGTCGAACGAATGGCAAGTATCATCCACTTACTAAAACTGATTGATAACAACTTAAACAATGACTGATGAATGAAGCATCTGACTAAACAGTCAATTATAACCACGCGAAAAACGACGGACATTCTCATAAATTCATCAATAACAAAATAAGACAAGTGGCTGCTGGTTTATTCCTCTACTAAAATCTAGGATGAGGTGAAGTTTCATAGAATCGCCATCAAGTTTAAGACAAGATGTAACTGCCGCTGCAGTTCAAGTAATCATGAACTACGTCAGACAAATCATTTTTGATGAAACCTTTACGATGTTTATCTTATTTTTAACGAGAGCAAAAATATATTTTAAAAATGTGGGAATTAAGCAATCATTACAAAAAACAATTGAAAACATATGTCTATACGTATTATACAGACGATCGAACAAGGTAACCATTTGGCACTTTCCTGTGACATATGGTATATTTAAATATATAATGTATACATATACATTTATATGATGCATCCACGTGTATTTCAAAACATATAAAAATAGAATTCTGTAACGGTAATGAATACTCAGATACGTACAATTTTGACTTTAGAAATACTGTTATTTATTCCAACGAATATTTCGACTAGGCCTACCTCCTGTTTTATAAATATTTAAAACTAGAATATATTTTTTCTGAATTGTATGAGTTTATTTTGTAAATTCACCATTTTTGTTAATTAAATTATTTAAATGAGGATGTTTTATAACCAAATATTAGGAATATTATTGTATAATTATACGATCATGGTGACTGGATAAATCCATGGTAGGCCAACTATATGAAACGTTAAAGCCAAAGAGGTTTTGTGTATTTAGCGTACAGTGCTTCAAAATAGCGAGCATAGACGATACGATTTGCGTTGTGAGCTCGTATTCAGACAGAAGTAATCCATTCCATTAACTTTCTAAAGAACATCTCGTGGGGATATAATACACAGAAAATCTAATTTACCTAAATAAATATAGGACAAGATAAACTTCATCTGTTAACAGGGAAAATATTTAAATAGCAAAACGACTTATCTCGCTATATAATACTCGGTTTTTCCAAATATGTTCAATCAAAATGACAGTTAACATTGGCTTATTATTCATCATTTTTATCTCGTTGCCATCATGATCGTCGTCATCGTTGTGATCATAATCATTACCGTCATTCATCCCTCTCATCATGATCATTATCATAATTATCATGATCATGATCATCATCACCGCCACTACCATCAACACCACCAACATTATCATCATCATCATTATAATCGTCGCCGTCGTCGTCATTGTCGCCGTCGTCATTTGCATCTTAGTGGTTTCTGCATTTTTTTTAATACCACTGTTATGGTCAACAGGTTTTATATTACCATGTAAGTGATCATGAGATTTTCATTGGCCAATTGCAGTCGCCAATGAAAAAATCTAACTATATTTAATCCTCAATATGTTTGTGGCAATTTAAGCTGTTCAACTCAAATGAAGAGTGACGTAGGTAGTCAACGTACTTCCATCAGAATTAAAAACCTTTCTGGTGACTATAAACAGATAAACGTGTTGTTGTAAGAAAATCATTTGTAAGCCCACCATAAAAATGTAACGTGTTAGCCCGAAATTAACTCGATAGAAGACATCGTCTTTCATTTAAGGAGGCTTTAAATCTTGGTATAGCATAAACACCAACCTAATGCATATAAAATGGATTGAAACCGTACTGTTTATATTGAAATAGATGACAATACGTCTGTGCTATCATGAGTCTAAGGACTAATAAGTAATATGTGAATTCTTAGATGTGAAAACAGGTCCTACTAATCTGTAGAGATAAAAATATACGCCGACAAAATTGTAATAGTTTAAAACATATTCAGTGATAGTACATGTTATATTATACATATACGTTTATTATATGCGATATAGTTGTAAAACCTTTAGGAACAAAATCCAAATTGTAGGTTTGAACTAAAATAATAGATTTATTCTCTTTATTTTAACTTAACACTTTTGGTGGTTCGTCCAGCTAAAAGGTTTTAGAATTCAGGTTTAGTATTACTGTATATTTGTAAACGTTTTTTGTCATATTTCGGTGTGTTGGTGGTGCCTGGGTGAGGTGTCTTTATCGGTGTGTTAGTGGTGCTGGTGTGAGGTGTCTCTGTCAGTGTGTTGGCGGTGCTAGAGTGGTGTCTCTGTCGGTGTGTTGGTGGTGCTGGGGGTGAGGTGTCTCTGTCGATGTGTTGGTGGTGCTGGGGTGAGGTGTCTCTGTCGGTGTTTTGGTGGTGCTGGATGGTGAGGTGTCTCTGTCGGTGTGTTGGTGGTGCTGGGGTGAGGTGTCTCTGTCGGTGTTTTGGTGGTGCTGGTGTGAGGTGTCTCTGTCGGTGTGTTGGTGGTGCTGGGGTGAGGTGTCTCTGTTGGTGTGTTGGTGGTGATGGGGTGAGGTGTCTCTGTCGGTGTGTTGGTGGTGCTTGGGTGAGGTGTCTTTGTCGGTGTGTTGGTGGTGCTGGGGTGAGGTGTCTCTGTCGGTGTTTTGGTGGTGCTGGATGGTGAGGTGTCTCTGTCGGTGTGTTGGTGGTGCTGGGGTGTGTTAGTGGTGTTGGGGGTGACGTGTCTGTCTTTGTGCTCCTGCTAGTAATGCTTTGTTTCTTGAAGACTTGAGTTTTCCAACGTTTTATGATTTTCTTTTTAAATGTTGCTATTTACCTTAGGTGTATTATTATTAACTGAACACAATCAATATTTTAATGTTGATGTCTAATCTTATATATTCAATTCAAGTTCAAATAGTACTTTCTGTGTTAATTTCATTTCATAGTTTATATAAAAAAAGAGTCGAATGGGCGAGTGAATCTACATTCTGTGTACTATATATTTCAAATTTTGAGATATTTTTTTTAATGTGTAGATTTCCCCCTCCCCGTACTTTGTTTCATTGAGCCCTTATCATTTTACAATGATGTGGAAATAAAGCTAATAAGCACCTCTCTCACGACTGTTACAGTATTCACGGACAACACTCGTACGCAATGCAGCACAATGACGCTGAGAGATTCTTCCACTAATTTACTATCTTCACTAAATTTACATTTAAAATATATTAAAGCCCAAAGTAGAACTGTCATTTTTTATTTTTGATATTGAATAAGATAACATTTCAAATAAGCTAACTGTTCAGGAAGCCACTTCACGTTCTCATATTTGGAAAATGACAATATTTAATATTAAGAGTAGGTTTAATACGAAGAGTTGTTGCATGTGACTCAGTTACTCTCCTTTAAACACTATATTATCTTTGTTCAATTCATGTGAATTATAAGCCTACATTCTTTATAAAATGTTCAAATACACGGAGTAAGTACCTTACGTTTGAAATCCAGGTTTGTTATACTGAATAGATTAATGAAGTCATAGTTTGAAATGTGTCCATATTTATTGGGCACATTGTGTTGATACACTATAATTATCATTATTATTATTATAATTATTATTATTATTATAAGGTAGGTTTTTAGTAACATAATTATTATTATTATTATTATTATTATTATTATTATTATTATAACTATTATCATTATTATTGTTATTATAAGGTAGGTTTTAGTGACATAATTATTATTATTATTATTATTATTATTATTATTATTATTATTATATTATCCTCTACAAGTAATTAATATAAATTTGTATTCTGCTGAATAACTTTACTTACATTTCAAAATATGAAGGAAGGGTATACAAGAGCCTGTTGTTAGGCAGAGTTGTGTTTAGTAGTCAATTGTGTAAAAGTTCAAGTTTGCCATCTATCCGTCATTGCCAAACGTTTGTAAGTGCGCGCTAAGTTAAATTTGGTTATCTATCCGTCACTGGAACGGAAGTGACGCTAAGAGATAATACGTTGTCGAGTTTATCAATTCGCCACCTTTCATGACGAAGTTGTGAATATTGATACAGTATGCATGATGGATGAATTGATAGATGGACGACCGGATGGCCGTCAGATAGTTCGATAGATGGGTGAATTTATATTTGATTGCCTGATCATCGATTAATAAATTGATTGATTGATTGATTGATTAACTGATATATGTATATATTTAGAGAAAGACTGACTGATTGATTGATTGATTGATTGATAGTTTCGATGGTTGATCGGTCGGTCGATGGGTCAATATATCATCGCGGTCAATTGATAGGTTTAGTAACAGAGACGGATGTACGTGTAGTGTTTTACGGAAGCTACGATGACCTTAACTTATTGGGTTTACAACTTTTGTGAAGATTGTGTGATTGATAGGTGCCTATACCTGACGGCATATTGGTGCTCATATCCGAGATGTCAGTGTATTGTCCTCTAATTTATCTTCGATGAATTTATAAAGTGTTTGATTTGCGTTTCGTGGCTACGTCTATTAGATGTCCAATATAAGTTATCGGTTTTACACATCAAATTATCTATCGATCATATGCCCTCACAGGGTATGAGAAGGTAATAGTACGCGATTATCTTGCCACTCATTTGCGGCACTGCAATATGATAGCGGTATGAATACACACAACATTGCTTGCTTTATGCTTAATTCTATCACTAAGGCAGTGCGAATATCGATCTACTAAGCACCTGTAGAGATGTCAATTTACCGAGCAATTTATACGATTCGTTCGCAATACGAAACTGACCGTCATTAAATGAAAACTCTTTCACGGATTAGTTGGTGTATAAGAGTGATGATACGAAGCAAGTAGATTTGAGCTGTCGTAGTTATTGATACAAATCGCTCGAATGCTTGTAACCAGAATTAGTTATGTGAACAACTATAAACAAACAGCAGGTCCAACTTCGTATTATACCTTACATCCCCAATCGTTAACACTTCGTGTCAATTCCAATTACATTCAATATATGGCGCACACGTCAACTTTGTGGCTTATTTCGACGTATGATAAACGTAACACAATTACCCAATATCAAAATCATTGAATGAATGTAAATATTTTTATTATCAAACCAATTTTTATAGCAGACAAACAATTTGTAACATTACAGAAACACTCAAAGATTAATTTGATTAATTAATTTTAAATACTAATTTTGTATGTGTAATAATTTTCATTTGAAAAATATCAAAGAAATGACTTTAATATCTATGGTATTATCGTTTAAATATACCATGGTTGTTACTACTGTATATAACTATTTGGAGATCCCGTCTGGTCTTTTAAATGTTCACTTTGTTGAAGATAAAAGGGCGTAGGTCTATCTTTATATATATATATATATATATATATATATCCAGTCTTAAATACATTTTCGAAGATTTGTTATAAAATTATAGTCTGTGCTTGGTCTCCTAAGACCACTTTAGATCAGTTTACATTGATAAGATGTCTACGCGATCCGTAGTCCCTTCATCGCCCACTTTGTGTGTTATACATATCACATAGGCCTACTTCCTATAGGGATTCTGATTCCATCACCTAAGCTAAATTTAGATCAATTAAGCGCGTGTCTTAAATCTATTACAACCCACGCATTCAATATGCGGTTTAGTACCCACAAGAAATCTACAAGATTTTGTTCATTTGCGTTTACAAAACCGTTAACTAATCATACAAATGTCAACCACTTATTCTACACAAAAATTGCATTCATTGTGTACGTTAATGAATATCAGCAGGTTAGGTCTACTCACTTATGTGTTGTAGGCCATCAGTCCTGATAACCATTCATGCGGTTATACCTCCGTCTACATAGTCTACTACACCGTCAATGCGTTATCGATACATACATAAACCTGATGACAAGCCTGGTGCCAGAGCATATAAACCCATTTTAAAATTATTGATAATGAAACTGTCTGGATGGAAATCATAGTGGTGCTAATGCATTAACTGCATAAAACCGTTTTTTAGAAAATCCTTAAAGCTCGGGTTGTTGAATTCAGCTTACTTCAATTTTCATCACAACTACATCACCCAATCCTAAATTGAGCCGCTTCTGAGCAGTTAAGATAGAATTAGCATAAACCCTAGTATTTGTAATAGAAGTGTTTCGCAGATAATATTGTTCAACCTGCTAGTTACTTCGTATAATAACATGAGTTAAAGCTTCTGTAGGTAGTTTAATATGCTTATTTTCTTTACATTTTATTACCCACACCGTCAATTTGGGGTTTATTGCTGGGCGTTCTATTCCATCACCATTTCTTTAATGGTGTCTTTACCTAAACTTAACACTTATTCAAATATATTCAAATTCAATATTATTTTTTTATTTATTTTATTTACATAAATTTCAATTCGGAATTATATTGCAGAAGTTATTTAGACATATTAAAAAGGTCACTTAATTCTATCTTTCTAAATACGTATTGTCACTAATATACCAGTAATACTCATAAAAACGGCTAATGGATGCTCTAAGTCATCTAATCATAACTATTATATCAACTATTATTATCAATGATATATTATATATAATACTATTAGTAAAATGACAACCTCAGTAGTCTGTAAGTAAAAGTTAATATTGGTGTTCATAATGGTTTAAGATTAAATCAATAATATTATTCGACGATCTGTCTCAGTCAGCATGTAATACTCATAAAAACGGCCAATGGAAGCCTTAAATCTACAGTACATCTAATCATAATTATTAATTCAATTATTATTATCAGTAATATTATATATATAATACTATTATTAAAATGACAACCTCCGTGGTCTGTAAGTAAAAGTTAATATTGGTGTTCATAATGGTTTAAGATTAAATCAATAATGTTATTCGACGATCTGTCTCAGTCAGCATGTAATACTCATAAAAACGGCCAATGGAAGCCTTAAATCTGCAGTACATCTAATCATAATTATTAATTCAATTATTATTATCAGTAATATATTATATATATAATACTATTATTAAAATGACAACCTCCGTGGTCTGTAAGTAAAAGTTAATATTGGTGTTCATAATGAACTAAGATTAAATCAATAATGTTACTTGACGATCTGTCTCAGTCAGCATGTCGCCTATGTTAGCAGTCTGTCCCACAAGTCTTAAAATGCTATGTGAAAATAAGTTAGCTTATGTCAATAGTTTCTCATAGGTCATATTTTAAGAGATCAAGTTGATATAAAGAGGTGGCATAGGCTTATTTCTTATCAGTGGAAATACATTAAGAATACAATTTGTTTATTTTTCTATAAATATTATTTGCTATTTATTTATGACACTATATCAACAGGACTTGCACTGTACGATATGAATCTTCCGAATGTTTCATATATGATATTCTCAGGTCCTTAAACACCACTAGTATACGTAATAGTCATTTATTGGTTGAAACTGGTTTATCAGTGTAAAATGAATTGAAAATCATGTTTAGCTTCATATACTGTTCAAACGAATACACTGGGTTATTACTTAATTTACAGTGCCTTTGTGGGCACATTTTACTTGGATTCAAACTGTACTAAGTCTATAATGAACATGTGTTACATTGTTAAGTAATTTTGTTACAGCCAATTATTATTATTATTATTTATTATTATTTATTATTTATTATTATTATTATTATTATTATTATTATTATTTATTATTATTATTATTAATATTATTATTGTTATTATTATTATTAGTGCCTAATATTATATTTATACTGAAAGCATAGCAGCATAAAATGGTCATTTACTAAACTGACATGTCACTTAATATAACTTACCGATTTATTTCATTTACATATCAGCTTACTTTTAGATTCTCCCTCATCACAAATAGTAATCCCCAGTCCAGCTCTACCGTCATTTATTTGATTTTAGAAGTTCAAAGATACGTTTTCATTCTGCACTATGAAATAACAATATTCACAATGATAATGGCGAAACAAGAAATTAGGCAGATGATGGGGATGTTGTAGCGGGTATAGGTGAAGCTACAAGAATGGTGAGATTTCTTAAGAATAAACTATGTACTGGAATGATGAGCCAGCCAAACAAACCAAGTAGGGATCATCCAATGTTTTCATCATTTACAGGAGAGTTTTTATGTGGCCCCTCTCTCCACCACCCCCACAAAAAATATGATTGTCATTTTGAGATCATCGTATTCATTAAAGGGTACACACATTGTAACCACTCCCCCTGCTGAAAATATATATGGACCAGGATGACCCCTTTGTTTGATAGGGTTAAGTTGAGAGAGACTTTCTATTAGGAAAGTTCAGTTGAGAGATTTTCTATCAGGAAAATAGATATCATTTTCCGACCGCAATTTAAACCCAAGACAACTGTTTGAGTGTTATTCTAAAGGCTGGAATTTCTAAAGATATAGCGTTTTCTCAAACTTATGTATAGTAAAGTATATTACTAAAAATATGAAGTATACTAGATATGAAGTCCAACAGTTTGAAGTATAAACCAAACTATAGAGAATTAGTAAAGAAATGGTATTTAATATTACTCAGTGTACTGTCTGTATCATCTATACTGTATTTGAATAACATCAATTAAACCATTTTTTTTTATTGTTATTGTTGTTGTAGTGTACAGCATTTGATAACTGATTCGTAAGATATTAAATTGAACCATATAAAGACGTTATATTGGATTACTTAATAAACTTATCAATGCTCACTTGACGGAACAAATTTGAATAGAATTGAACAAAATGAACGAACGAATGAATGAACAGATAGACAGACCAACGGATGGATGAAAAATAGATCCATCGATCCACCCATGGATCGATGGATCCATGTTAGGTGGGTGAATGGACGGGTGGACGGGCGAATGGATGTATGAATGGACGAACGGATTGATGGACGGAAATGAAGAGCTTCAGATGGGTTATGTTAGTCATGCGTATATTCAGCCCGAAATGCTTATAGTTTTTGTTCATTAACCTAATTTCATCAGCTTAAAATAGGATTCAGACTGATGCATCACAACGGTTATTTAAAATAATAATTTAAGTTTTTATGGAGGAGATAATGAAATGTTAAACGATCCAGGAACGCAATCAACCACACCTTTATCGGAATCAGTGAAACTGAAATGACCGATGGTCTGTAATAAAATTTGATCGCTTTATTTGTTATCAACGCACCCATGACCATGCATTCATTTCGGCTTTTAAACATCAACTGACGGTAACACCAACCATTGACTGCCATCCACTAAAACATCATCTTATTAAACATGGCTACTATAATTGTAATTACTTTCAACAGAGAACAATGTTTCAATTATTGACACTAAAGGTGACGAGATAGGGATATAGCTGAACATTTTCGGTGTGTTTGATCCATCGATTACAGGGT